CTTTAAATTTTTTTGGGGGGGGGGGGGGGGTTGTTGTTGTAGCTAGTTTCCAGAGCTCCAAGTTCTTTGTGTGACCTGGTTGGGGCTGATTAGGGTTTAGAATGCACCTCCCGTTCCATTAGAATAGCCAGCAGCTAGCTTCCATCTTGTGGTGTAGGTGGCAGGGTTGACAGACGACCACAGAACACAGTGAGAAGAGGGATAGGGGGACTTGTTTACATGTCAAGCTGAGCCGGGGTGCAGAAGAGCTTTGAGTGACAGATGTGCCAATTTCTACCTGGCTCCGGCATCAAAAAGAGCATTGGGAATGAAGAGGCCTCACACACTGACTGACACTAAACAGAGCAGATCTATATTTGCTGCCCTGGGCAAGCAGAATTCTACTAATTATTTGAAATAAGTGAAATAAAACATGAGGACATATAAAATAAAATAAAAAATATATATGATGTTGATGTGTGTTCTACTTGAATATTCCTTGCTCGTTCTAGAGAATAGCAGAAGCATCATTAATAAATTCAGACACAGGCTAAAGAACATGTCCAAAGATATAAACATACCTCAAATTAAATAAAATTAAATTTAAAATTAAATAAAATGATAACAGCAATATAAAATTAATTAAATAGCAGATAATATAGCAATTAAAAAATAAATAAACTTAAAAATAAGACAAAAACAATTTAACACTACAAAAATAAAATAAAAGTAAATTAAATTAAATTAAAGGATACTGCTGCATTATTCTTTTTGAGCAAACACAACATATTCTCTAAGTAAATTTTGTCTATTAAAGAATGAGTCTTATTCTAGACAAAAGGCAAAACTGTCTTCTGGAACTATAGCTATTAACTTTGCAGCTACAAAGTCTGTATTACCTGAGCAAGTATGTATGTGAATGTGTCTATAAAGAGTGTGATGAATTATAACACGAAGGTAATAATAAGGTGGAGTGGCAGGTGTGGAAGGGCAGCATTCTGACTCTGTTTCTGGGAAAGGGCACCAACACTGACCTGTAGCTGCTGGGCTTCGTGGTTCTCCAGCCCCTCCACTATCGGAGCAAACCTCTCCTTATTATTCCTCTCCGCAGCAATGGTCATGGCTGCCAGGATCTTATCCAGACTAAAGGAAAACAAGAAGACAAAAACAGTGTGTTTAGGTAAACAAGCTTTTTATCAAGACACAATCGTGACATTGGTTTAGAATGTTCACCCGAGTTGGTCTAAGCTTGTAATCTCAGTCTCAGATGTTTACGCACTGGAACTGGAACAAAGCCACAGACTTTTATGTTGATTTATAACTCACTAGCGTTTTGAAATACCAAAGGAAGCCTAATGTTCTCCGTAGTAATAAGAGAAATCCTCTAGTCTACAGTATGTGATGCTGTGTCAGAAGCAGCAACATAAGAGAACCAAAGAGATGCGTTTGGACAGAAGTACAAGGAGTGTTGGTGAGAAAGCAAATTAAGGACTTTACAAGGTCCCATGTCTGTTTTGCTGACTCAAGCACCGGTGGATTGCAGTCCATGGCTAAGGGAAAAGAATAAAAGAATGCATCACAGACAAAATAATTACTGCAGAACAAATCATTGCTTGTGTAAAAACAGCCCATTCCAAGAAACACATGCATCACAGCTGTGTCTTAACTGTGTATATCATTAGTCTTGCTCTTATCAGGTTAGGAAAAGCTCATTTTGGATTTTATCAATTGTTTTCGATTTGAATATATTTTAACATGCAATTTTCTCCTTTAATAGCTAAGCTGAATTTTCAACAGCCATTACTCTAGTCTAGCCAATGTCATGATTCTCCATAAATCATGGTGTAACACAAATGCCTTTACAGTCACTTTTGATCAATTTAATATGTCCTTGCTGAGAAAAAAAAAAATATATATTTTTTTTTTTTTTAATCGTACACTACTTAGCCCATACCTTTGAATGGTAGTGTATCTGGGCTTCCACAAAAATATTAAGCTTTTTATATATTTATATGAAATATAATTAATAATTAATTACATACTATAGACTACATACTAGTGATCTACACCAGATGTTAAATTCACTTTCATATGTCTCGTTACCCCAAAATCGTTTTGCTTTGCTCCGTTGTTGAAGAAACTGCGGAGACAAGTTTTGTCAAACAGCTAGGTTTAAGATCCGTGTTTTGTGATCCAGGTGATCCAGGTTGTAGTCGTGAGTGGGCTGTACAGAGTCTTTCATGCTGGTTCAAACATGGCTTCAGAATAAGCTACACCTGCTCAACTCCTAAAGAGGGCTTTGATGTGACAGCACTAAACATAAGCCAGTATCACTGCACAGCGTTTTAGGGGGAAGGAGCTAGTTTCAGCACTAAGTGAGGTATCAGCATTTTTACAGCTGTCACACAGATCTGCACACTCTCTGATCACCTATATACCCGTAAAAAAAATTAAAACACTAATCTACTCACCTACCACACACCAATTCACTTAGCATGTGTGCATGAGTCTCTCTGCGTGTGTTTACTGAAACAGATCCCAGGGCTGAAGGTACTGATTGCCAGATAAAAATGACCAGTTGCAAACTCAGCTTTTTAATTATTCAACTACAAAACTAACACAGCAGGCATACGCTTAGCCGGGGGCTTTCTAGTAGGGATGCAGCGATTAACCGGTTTCACGATTAATTAATCGTAAAGGCATCGCTACACCGAGTGTTTCTGTTGCATGGAACAGAACAGTTGCAACTTGCGCAAAACGAAAACAAAGTTACACTAGCGGTGCACCATCTTAAAATGCCGTGCTTATCAGAGAAACGGAGGCTACTACACACACTAGATTAACTAGTCTAATGACAGAGGGACCAACAGAGAAGCTTTATTTCCACCAGAGAAATGACTGAAGTCGATAGGGCAATATATGATACTTTTTGGCTCTGAGAAGAGATGCAGCGATTAACCGGTTTCAGAGTTTTACTGCACTTTAATACGCCACGGTTAATTAATCGTAAAGGCTTCGCTACACCGAGTGTTTCTGTTGCACGGAACAGAATAGTTGCAAAGTTACACTAGCGGTGCACCATCTTAAAATGCCGTGCTTATCAGAGAAACGGAGGCTACTACACACACTAGATTAACTATGACAGAGGGACCAACAGAGAAGCTTTATTTCCACCAGGGAAATGACTGAAGTCGATAGTGTCGGAGCATTTTGGGTACACCACGAATGACCAGGGTGTCATTTAAATATTGCCGTAAAAAAAACTGCTGCTAAAGAGCAAATGCATAAAGGATAATACACGGCTAGCTGTGCATTGAACAATTTTAAAAAACAAAATCAATCCCGCTTCAGATCAGACAGAGATGAAATAGTGCGGTACTTTCTTTACTGCAAGACGTTTGCTCGGTCTAGATGTGCTTAAATCTGCACTAACGATGCGTTCCTGTCACGTATCACACATGCGCACTTCAATAAGCTGACAGAAAGCGGGTTAGCCTATTGCGTTTACATGCCGTGCGAAATCGGAGTATGAGGCAAAAAAACTACTTGTTGCGACCAGTTTATGCTTACGCCGTTTATGACCTTACTCTGATAAAAGAAAACGGGTTACCGCGTTTACATGACCAAGTGCGTTTTCGGCTTATTAAGCATAATCGGCTTAAGAACGTGCATGTAAACGCGCTCATTATTATTTTCAGGCCACATGTAAAATCATATGAATCATTATAAATATTATTAAAATGAATACGTATGGATGACAGTTGATTACAATAATAGTTCCGTTTATTCCCCTCATTTAGTTTCCCCTGTGTGTCTTATATTAATAATGCTTCGTTAACATTGGTATTTATTATCCCTGTTTTATTCATGTCAAAAACCAACAAGATTTTTTTTCACCATGTTTCCAAGTTCTCTACCTCAGGTCCAAAAGAAATAAAGAATGTACAAAGTGAAAACACTAAATACTTTTTAATTAGTTATTTTCAAAAGGGAAATACTTTCATGGATGTTTACAGAGCAGAGATGTCCCTTTTTTTAAATTCCAATAGGAGAGATAGACTTTTGTTTGTCTTTATTATTATTATTTTGTGCTGTGGGCCTATTATTGGTTACTGTGTTGTTTCTGTTTCAAAAGGCAGCAATAAATAACACTTTAAAATGTTATACACTAGTAATGTTGTTAAATGAATAAATGCATAATAATCGTAATAATCACTAAACCGTGATTATTCCTCAGACAATAATCATACCAGCAAAATCTAAAATCGTTGCATTCCTACTTTCTAGCATATATATATATATA